CGTAGAAAGAGACCCTTCATAAAGAGTCAGTTCAGCTCAGAGTCAGTTCAGAGTCAGTTCAGAGTCAGTCAGCTCAGTTAAAATATTTGTATCATAGCAGCATGAAAATTGTTTGTTCAATGCAGATTTAGTTACTAGGTAATGAGAATGTAGATCGGAAACAAAAACACCGTTTAACTTGCATGCAATATTTGATTGATTTTTTAACATTTTATTGCAGATTTGTATGCATTTTTGTTCAGTTAGAGACGATTGCTCAGAAGATATTAATTAACTCGTGCTAGACCAAAAGATTGGCAGCGATCACCAGTCACGAAACACTTAGGTGAGTGACATGATTAATAATGATTATATAGAGACTGGGGAGTGATATGGGGTATTATAGGAACTGAGGAGTGATACGGGGGATTATAGGGACTATGGAATGATACGGGGAATTATAGGGACTGGGGAGTTGAGCGAGGGATTATAGGGATTGAAAAGTTATATGGGGATTATCTGGATTTGGGAGTGATAAGGTGGATTATATGGATTGGGGAGTGATCCGAGGGACGTATTGATTGGGGAGTGATATGGGGTTTATATAGGGATTTGGGAGTGATGCGGGGGATTATAGGGATTTGGGAGCGAAACTGGCAATTATAAGGATTGGGGAGTGTTACGGGGGTTTGCAGGGATTAGGCTGACAGAAATAATATCTGCTTTCGTTATATCCAGGAACTATGGAATGATACGGGGGAATTATAGGGACTGGGGAGTTGAGCGAGGGATTATAGGGATTGAAAAGTTATATGGGGATTATCTGGATTTGGGAGTGATAAGGTGGATTATATGGATTGGGGAGTGATCCAAGGGACGTATTAATTGGGGAGTGATATGGGGTTTATATAGGAATTTGGGAGTGATGCGGGGGATTATAGGGATTTGGGAGCAAAACTGGCAATTATAAGGATGGGGGAGTGTTACGGGGGTTTGCAGGGATTAGGCTGACAGAAATAATATCTGCTTTCGTTATATCCAAAGACTTGTCAACAAAATATAGCCATCATTTGTGCCAACATCTTACCATTGTGCTGAATATTGAGCGCCTGGGATAACCTTTCAGTAAGTGATAGGTGATCCTTGAAATTTGACAATCACTTAATTTTATTATTGCAAGCCGTGGAGTGAAAATATTATTTTCAACGCCACGTTAACATCATCATTCTGAACCCCTTATGTGACATGAAGCCAGATACTCATTAGAGCCTACTGCACTCATTAGTTTATCACAGTAGCACTCTCACTCATAATCCCTCTCTTATATAGCTCTTATTGTAGTCCATTATATTAGTCAATACTCAGCGCCATAAGTTCATCGACCACGTCAGCATTCAGTCTAATAACATTAAACTAAAATAATTTGACAGATCTGATATTATATTGGTCTAGGAAACTAGTGATTTGTCTGATATGATGGATTAGTCCATTTAGGTTTTGTATGATTGGACCTATATACGTTGCTTGCAGGCCATTACTTGTTACATTTTCATGATTTGACCAACGTACGTACGTTTCTTGTAGGCCATGATTTGTCACAATTTTATGATTAAACTTACGTTGCCCGTAAGCCATGACTTTTCACACAATTTTCAGAGCCTGCTGCAAGATGGCGTCTCCAACACTAGTCAGGGTTACCGCATTCAGCGTTGTTTATCGATTAACGAATTCCGAGGAAAGGCTTCGGGATATTCTGGCAGCTGCACACCTAATGTAAGCTCACAATTCTTATGCCAACTTAAGCGGGAGTTCGTTTAGCAAGGTTGGAGGTTGAAACATCAACTGGTCAGTGAAAGATCAACTCGATTGTGGCAAGCTTATTTCTTGCCTTAATTCTATCCCAAACGATCATCATGTGTCTAAATCAATGTTCAAAACTGCAGGAGTGGCTCCGGCCCAAGATCTTATTGTGTCACGAAAAACATTGCAGTTAGTAATGGGAAGGTTGAGTTATAATGTGAGTAATACACTACTTTACAAAACATTTTATTCACTGTGTTCCTAACTGTACTCCATTTTTGAAGAATTAATATAACATTAATATCTACCTATATGTATAAAAAATTATGGGTTTCTACAGCCTTACACTCTTCATAGTTGCCTTCACTTGTCCTTGCTTTGTTTTGTATCCATTAGTTATCAAATTTTCAGATATTCTAGAACCTTTTTTATTCAACCTTGTGAAGTAATTTTTGATCATGATTTAGTATCGCTGTAAGTCTTTGTTTTTATTGCTAGTATCTATTACGCTCCTTATCTCATTCCAGCGACTGGGCAACACTCTCAGAAGAGGATATATTTTATTTCTATGTCTTGATATTTGACTTAAAGTTTTCTGTATTTTGCCTTCAAGATAATAATAGAGTTCAAAACACATAACCTATACAGTCCCTCAGAGACACACGCGACAGTGAAATCCTCCGGGCAACCTGGATGGGGTGAAGGGGCGGGGGGAGGGGGAAGTGCTGCAGTGGCTCGTACGTCGGTTAACTTGCATATGAGGTCATAAAAAGAACCTCTTTGCATCAATCGATTTGTGCAATATTTTGTTGATTGAGTTACAATAGATTAACAAATATTTATTCAGCTGTATCACCTTCAATAATCCTGGTTGACTTTTTAAAAATTACGGCCTTTGAAGGGGATTAATATGGCAAGTGTCAACATAACAAAATCAAAGTCGAACAGCGAATTCTCGAAAAAAAATGCTTTTCGATTCATTCTAATTAGCAGTGATAAGCACAAAATTTCCAGCCATTAGCAGTGAGCAGAACAAAATTTCCAGCCATTGGCAGTAAGGTGCACAAAATTTCCAAAAGTTCCAGCCATTAGCAATGAGCAGCACAAAATTCCCAGCCAGTGAGCAACACAAAATTTCCAGCCATTAGCCAGTGAGCAACACAAAATTTCCAGCCATTAGCCAGTGAGCAACACAAAATTTCCAGCCATTACCAGTGAGCAGCACAAAATTTCCAGCCATTACCAGTGAATACCACGAAGTAAAATTCAGTTTTCGGAATCGTTGAATGAAGTGACTCTCACCCACGCGTCCTCTCCCAGCTTGCGGGCGGTGCTGCTGCAGGTGTTGCCGGCCCTCAGCACCGGCAGCCCCGACCATTTCATCCGGCGCTTCCGGGAGCTGAAGGAGACGCTGCACTACGCCCGCCTCACCGCAGACGATGTGAGGGACGCCGTCGCGCGCTGCCGTCCCGACCACCGCGCCATGGTGCTCTACGCCTTGAAGAGGACCTGGCACGTCAGTAACGGTGGGTGACGTTCACTCGTGTTGGGTGTGGTGGGTGACGTTCACTCGTGTTGGTGTGGTGTGTGACGTTCACTCGTGTTGGGTGTGGTGTGTGACGTTCACTTGTGTTGGGTGTGGTGGGTGACGTTCACTAGTGTTGGGTGTGGTGGGTGACGTTCACTTGTGTTGGGTGTGGTGGGTGACGTTCACTCGTGTTGTGTGTGGTGGGTGACGTTCACTTGTGTTGGGTGTGGTGTGTGACGTTCACTTGTGTTGGGTGTGGTGGGTAACGTTAACTCCTGTTGGGTGACCCAGCTTGCGGGCGGTGCTGCTGCAGGTGTTGCCGGCCCTCAGCACCGGCAGCCCCGACCATTTCATCCGGCGCTTCCGGGAGCTGAAGGAGACGCTGCACTACGCCCGCCTCACCGCAGACGATGTGAGGGACGCCGTCGCGCGCTGCCGTCCCGACCACGCCACCATGGTGCTCTACGCCCTGAAGAGGACCTGGGACGTCAGTAACGGTGGGTGACGTTCACTCGTGTTGGTGTGGTGTGTGACGTTCACTCGTGTTGGGTGTGATGGGTGACGTTCCCTCGTGTTGGGTGTGGTGGGTGACGTTCACTAGTGTTGGGTGGGATGGGTGACGTTCACTTGTGTTGGGTGTAGTGGGTGCCGTTAACTCCTGTTTGGTGTGGTGGGTGACGTTCACTCGTGTTGGGTGTGTTGGGTGCCGTTAACTCCTGTTGGGTGTGGTGGGTGACGTTCACTCGTGTTGGGTGTGAAGAGTGACGTTCACTAGTGTTGGGTGCGGTGGGTGACGTTCATTCGTGTTGGGTTTGATAGTTGCAGGTGCAGGTAAGAAAGTCGGTTATGCTGAAAGTGGTTTGTGACGTTTTATTGTGAGTGTTTGATTATGTTGAATGTGGTGGGTGACGTTTGAGTATGATGAATTTGGTGGGGGATGCTTAATTATGAAGAATGTGGTGGGTGATGTTTGAATATGTTGAATGTGGTTGGTGACGTTTGAGTATGATGAATTTGGTGGGGGATGCTTAATTATGAAGAATGTGGTGGGTGATGTTTGAATATGATGAATGTGGTGGGTGATGTTTGATGATGTTGAATGAGGTGGGTGACGTTCCAATTAGCTAGATAAGGTGGGTAACTTTCACTCGCGTTGGACAGGGTGTGAGAGGTTTCCTCATATACTGGATGAGAGTGACGTTTTGTTGAATCTGGTAGAATGCGATGCATTTAAGAGTGAACATCAAGGCTGTCAACCGCGGTAGTCGCCTATGGCGTTTCTTAACTATGAAGGCGACCAATAACTCGCCTCTGAAATTTGGAATGCTTTACTGCTATTTATTGTCAATTAACGGACATTAAGATAAATTAGGTAAACTTTGTATTATCACAGTTATCGCGAATGTAAATTTTTAAACCCTGCATGAGGATCGTAAAACGCTCGACTTTTCTAACATTTTCGCGAAACAATTCAATTCAGTCATGTCCGATAAGAATTTGTGTAAAAATACAAAC